ATGTCAGCTTTAATCCGTGAAACGTGTCGGTTTGAGCTAAAGCTACCGAAACTGACTCAGACGGAGAGAATGTAGACTACAGATAAACTATGGTACTGTTATCGGCTAAGTACACAAACATACCATCGTTTAATTTAAACATTTATCTTCTAAATGATGGAAATATACTGACATAATCTTATATATCTTTTATTTGACATTTTTACTGTCGGGAAATATTTACTCCTTTAAACGTAAAAATAAGATCGGAATTTTTAAGCCAGTCATGTACATATTAGTTTGTAAAATGACTAGTATTGTCGTTATGACAGGGAATATGGACTAGAATATGTGTTTGAGGAAGACTTTCATAAAAATTAAGTACCACTAGCTGTTTTGGTAATGGTTGTGTCTGCATATTATCGAATTTGTCTTTAAATGTTAATTTTCCATTACATTTATTACAGATACTTGACTAAAAAGTTTAAATCACATATATCTGGTGAGCAATAACCTACAGGTTCTTTACTTTATAAAAATAAGGAGATGTGGTATGATTGCCAATGCGACAACTATCCACCAAGTTCAAATGAAGTGGATGAAAACAATTATAGGCAACCGTACGGCCTTCAACAATGAGAAAAAACCCATACCGTATGGTCGGCTAAAAAAGGCTCCGACATGAAAAACATGAAACAATTCAATTGAGAAAACTAATGGCCTAATTATAACAAAACAATTTACGAAAAACAAATATGACAGACATGAACCACCGACAACCACTGAACTACAGGCTCGTGACTTGGGACAGTCACATAAAGAATGTGGCGGGGTTAAACATGTTTGTGAGCGCTCAACCCTCCCCTAACCTGGGACAGTGGTGTAACAGTACAACAACAGTACAAACTATAAAAATCAGTTAAAAAAGGCTTAACTCATCAGATGGATACAAATAGAAATACATCTCACAAAAACACAGAGTGGACGTGGACGGATACCTATACCTCCCAAAAACAAAAAGACACTAAGTACAGATCTGAGAGTACTCGCAGCTACTGACAGCTAGTTCAAAGACAATAACAACTAATAAAAAAAGTTATGTATCTAAGACTAATGATGTTATTAAAAACTGTTTCTTCAAGTGTTTTGTCGGTTTTTAAGAACTGGGCTTGTTTTCATAACATTCCATAGTCCATGTATGTTTTTTTTTTAGAAAACATAACATCTACTATTCAGAATTATTAAGGACGGACTGAATTTTAAGAAAACTATTGATTTATGTAAAAAAAAACTATAGAGACCCCACTCTAGGGTTACAAGAAAGGCAATAACGTGATGTGTTAGAATAATATAGGCATTTTATGAATACGTGCTTCAGTAGTATAGCAGTTTTTTTTAAAAATGACGTTAAATATCCACGCACCAAATTTCGTTTAGGTAAAGATTTATTTCCCATAAAAAATAATGTGGTTACTTCCGCTCACATTCTACTGCATAAGACTTAGAACTAACAGGATTACTTACGTTGGTGTGGTCCGTCATACAATAATATACGTCTATGTCGTTATAATAGATCAATTTACTGAATGTACAGAATTTTTAATCGGATAAAATTAATCATGTGAATGTTTGGAATGATCTGAATGCTGTCTTTCTGAAAGTTAAATTTAACGGAAAAAGATATTTGACGTAGGAGTTTTTACAAAGTTAGTAGTTTCGTATTTTGTTTTCTGTTTTGCTAAGGTAACACCTAAGTCGATAATGTGACACGACACAACAAATGCATGTCATGAAAGTTTTCTTTTAAAATCGTGTAAAAAATGCTTGTCTTATGTCTATTTTATAGCTGTATAGTGTGTTTTAAAACTGTTTCCATGCGATTCACCTAAAAATAGTATTAAATCATGTTGTTCATGGACTCAAGTCCTCATTTTTTCCTACATTCGTACGTCAAAGATATAGAAGCGTTAAAACTGGCCTTCGATTATTTGAAAATTTAATACATTGAAAAGGTAAATTAAATAAGTTTTTAAATAAAGCGGAAACGAAAACGATTAACACTGTATACATGTTTAACTTAATTAAAATAGTACAATCTCAGTCTGTTTGATATTGTTGGGTAATAATATATGACATTTAAAGGAAATGCATTTTTAATTTTATAATGTAAAAAAGAAGATGTGGTATTATTGTCAATGAGACAACTCTCCACAAGAGACCAAATGACACAGACATTAACAACTATAGGTCACCGTACGGCCTTCAACAATGAGCAAAGCCCATACATAACACTGCATTGCTATTGATTATCTGAAAAAAAATACTGGTTCTCACTTTTCATCCATATTGTTTGTTAGCGGACACGAATAATACAAAATTTAAACTAAAAACGAGAAGCTTGGCATGCATTATTGAGACACCAAACTAACGACAAAAACACAGAAGATATCTAGAGATTGAATATCAGAACTGTACTTAATATCATAATTTTATTTTTTATTTTGAATCAGTTAAAATTACCGTTATTTTGCCAATTACCTTGTTCAAGAACATAACTTAATTGTAACATGCCTGATGAAACAAAAGAAAAAGAAAGACGTTTCAGGCCATACCAAGGATGGCTCATAGGAAGGAAGTCATTCAAAACGAGACATTCTAAAAAGGGTATAACCTCACTAGGAGTGAAAACCACAACGAGGTTTACCATTGCCCACCAATATGTCAGAACCTCTAGCTAGAAACAACATAATTGTCGTACAGGAATAAACCATTCGCGTGTCTTTCCAATAATTGTTTATTGATTTAGACTTTATCCATTATAGAGTCAGTCGAAGTTTAAACTGTTTCCGATATAACAGGTAGATAAGATATATTCTCTTAGTCTCTTTATAATCAATTAGACCAAAGAAGGAAATCGATAATGATGATAATGAACATTATATTTTACATTGCGTCAGTGAACCTTAGGGACCTTTTAAGTGATTTATTGATCAGTCTAATGGCTAGTACTATTTCTTATTGATAACATGATTGTTGTTTGCTTAACGTCCAGTGACAAATATTATTTACATTTCATTAAACAATAAATCGATTAGGTAGGTTGAGCTAAGTGGGTCAACTGGAAAATGCCAGGAAATTTAGACTTCACTAGGAAAAGAGGGTATCTTGGGTAGTGGAACGTCGCGATAGAACTCCCGTGGACCCTAAACAGATAGAGAAAGCTCTTTAACGTAAGAGAGTGTTACGTTCCAACCATTTCATACGATTTAAAATCTTTTTTATGGACGAGCACATGTTTAAAAGCAAATATAATTGCATTTTTAAAAAGTTGAACTGGAAAACGAATTATTGGCTAAGGACATACTTGTATATGTTTCCGGTGGTATAAAGGTGGTCTACAATATCCAACATACAGTCTTTAGCGAAGAGTTGTCGCTTAGGTTATTTAAACAAAAATGTTGCTTAGAACAAAACAAAAGTTGTGCTTAGGCTCTGGATCAAAATCAAATGGTTCTTGTTCAACTAGCTTAGCAATTATAAAGTCAACGCAATAATGATTTCCATTTTTGATACTCATGCCATTCCAAAAAGACCCGTGTGGTTGCATTTTGTAATTTAATCATCCTGGGGTTTAATGAGTTTACAAGGAAACATACATATTGTACAATGTTTCTAATCTTGAATCGAATAGGAAGATATTTTCAGTTATGTTTTATTTTAAAATTGTTTTGCCACGTCAGAGGTAAAGTTTGTTTTCTTAATCATTCTTTGAAGATTGTTTTTCTTGATCATTCTATAAGGGGGGACCAGTAGCCTAGTGATAGTGGTTGCTGGTCGACATTTTTAAAACAGTTAACGATGCATTTGCATAACATATTAGGGGGCATTTGGTAAATCGAAATACTCGGGCTAGTAACGTAAATATCTTAATTCAGATCATGGATTCTAAAAATTTCTTATTATATTTTGTTAAAAATTGGATATAGATGATCAGTATGCAAAGTTTGTATATTATTTTTTTTAGATTATTCACATTGACGGATCGGAATGACATTTACGAAAATGACAAATTGCAATCCAAATGAAATTGAATGAAGGGGAGCATCTTTTCCTTATTAAAAGTAAATAGATATGAACAATAAAGAATCAATGCTACAATTACTGAAGGAGGATCACTGGTCAGTCTGCAACGTGTCTTCTCTGGACATATTTAGTTTGACATTTTCCGAAGTATCTTCAGAATTATATTTCCATTTAACCAAAAAGTCCTGTTCAAAATCATTTTATTTCGTGCTCGTTGATGTCGTTGTTGTTGTTCAACTGACTATGCTGTTTTTGTAAGTATGCTTGGTCAGTAGACGTTGATGAACCAACCGCCAATCAGTTACTAGTAATTCAAATCCGGCATGCGTTGTACGCTTAAGAATACTGATGAACACTTAAAGACTTATTTCTGTATCCTTCAGAACTGATAGTCGAGAAGTTTCAAAGTGTATAGTAGAGACTACAATTCATCCGAACGCTACAAATAAAATGACTTTCATTCAAGTTGAAAAATTGAAGTTTAAGTGACATCTTCGTAGCCTGAAGTTAATGTCACTTTTCTCCTTAGTTTTGTAACTTTGTTTTGTAATAATAGAAACGCCATTTGTTTTATGACAAATTAAGGACTGTAAATAGTCTTCTCGTGTTGGTATTTCGGGATTGTCGTAAAAAAAACATATGACAAATCTTAAATTCCTTTATTTGAATACAATGCCAGTAGCAGAAAATTAAAGGCCTTCTCTATGTAATGTTTCTATAAATAGCCTTTTCTGTAAGGAATGAAGAAGAAAATTGACCTCTCAAGTGGCGAACAAAGTAATCTTGGTATTAACTAATTCATACGAAAAATGATATTTATTTAATTGCTTAGTTGCAAGTAAATATTTTCTACTGAAAAATTAAATAACTTTCAATTGACTGGCTAATAAAGGTGGATTTGAATAGAAAGAGTATCTGTATTTAAATGACTAACCTCCTTTAAAGCTTCGAATAACTATATGGAATACACAGTTGTTTTTCATTAAGATCGCAGGCACAGAAATAATTAAAAACATAAAAAAAAAGTGAAAAACGAATCGTTCTGTGGGGCCGTAATTTTTCAAAATTGATAGTTTGAGATTTAACGAATTCTGATGTGTAAAGAATTGTGGATTCAAACGATAAAATTTATACTTTAAAAGTTCTGATAACGTTTGGAATAGTATAAACTAAGTGAAGAGTTTTCGTGATAGGGGATTAATCAAAGTTCGTGATTAAACAAACAATCGGAATGAGGATGCTCGTGATGGGAAATGATAAACACAATAGTCAGTGGTGTTTCCCCGAAACTTCAGTACTTTTTTACAGTAAGTCGTTTCTAATTTCAGAACTTTTCTGTGTTTGATGCTCAACTTTTTGTTTCCGATGTAACTATTTTTGGGACTTGACTATAAACATGTATTTTTTGTTGAGTTTACAAAACGAATAATAATTGGTATATGTTTTGAAGTTATTTAGATCAAGAAGAAAGAATGACGTTGATTGAAATAAATTGACAGGCTTTTATATTTGGTCTATTTAAAAGAAAAAAATGTTGACGTAACGCGAAGGCTTTTTTTTTTAATATATACCTTCTATACGACTACTTGCACCTGATTAAAATGATAAAAATTCTTATTTTCCAAATTAAAGGGGCTATAAATTTAAAATTTTGCATACTTTGTCAAAACATACAGTTTTTTTGAAAGATTTTCCCCGTCTTTGAAATAATATATTCTTATTAACTAGTAAACATCTTCACTCCTATTGAAATATAGAAAACCACTCGAAGACATTTGGTAAAAAACCAACAAATGTTATTGAGCTATCGCCCATATATCAATTTGCCAGAGCAAATATATATTGTTGTTTGTGTATGCGTTTTCAAGTGTTTAGTGGGAACTCTCCCCTTTTGCCCATTAAGCTCTAAGGATTTAATAATAATATTCCAAAGCACGGATCGAAGTGTGATTTTGTACAATGAACCATAGAGTTTGATTGTATACATATTAATAATTTTGACATAAATATCATTTTATGTGATATTTCTGACATTAAATGCTGGAACAAATCGTTTAATATTTACATACAAGTTTTCGGTAGTTGACCCAGGGGTTGATGTTTTGCACAATATAGTTTCTATGTAAAATATGTTAGGCATCATTTATTTGTAAATGTACCGAAAGGCAGTTTATTTTGTTGGTATACTACCAACGTACAATTTAAGTAATGTTCCTATATAAAAAAAAAAGACGCTGCCAATGACTAATTACAGAATGATGGTTTCCCCGTTTGATAGACAAATATAACTGTTTCTGTCTGTCCTGAAATTCGATGAACTTGACAGATTTAAAAAAAAAAATACTTGGGATTTGTTTTCAGATAACAAAACGTTTTTATCGTTGAGTTAAAAGTAAACCGACTTCGTCAAAACATCTTCTTTTCACAATAAGTTTTACCATGTCAAGTAGTCGTTCATTGCATAAGCTCTTGTATTTCATGACTATTATAAATGCTTTTACAATCTTAACTCTGACATGTTAGAACATTTGACTTTGTGTTTGGTTTTAAAAGTTTTAAAAAGGATTAAAAAATCATATTTGACTTTTGTGCGATTATCAAATAGCTATTTAGGCATTTTTTCAAAAGAATACTTAAATGTATTGAAATTCATAAATAATAGCTTTTGAATTATATTCTGCAAAGTATTTTTATTCCAAAGCATCAGAATTGTATTTGAAACCATTGGCAAAGTAGTCTAAATGATATAAAATAGAAAATTATTGGTATCACATATCTTTGTATACTTTGGCTGCATTTCTTTTCAGTGATGTTAACGTTAAGTAAAACATTGAGTTTGAGATACAACATACATACCTGAAAGAATTCTACAGGAGAATACTATCAGTATAAAAGGGGTCTTTTTACTCTGATGTATGAAAATGAATAGAAATAAAACATGTTTAAATAGAGTTGTTTGTGTATTTACTGTAGGTTCTTGATATTATGAGTTTTGGGTCTACACGTGTCGTTTCTTTCGTTTAGAGGTTTGTAAAGGGGGATTTCGATTTTAAATATGCGTTAAGGTGTTGGCACACTATTTAATATGGTTGTAAACTGGTTGTTTTTTCAAATATATCTATGAGGGTTCACTGCGACTTTGAGATTAAAACATCGATACTGACTGTTCCTTTGCTTTTGGTTTGGCAAGAACTTGTAGTAGTTTTGTGTCATTAATTAATATAATTATAACATATTCTTTCTTGTCCGCTATGCTTTGGTCAGTGTTAAGAAGACGGATAAGATCAAAATTCGTCAGCATGATCTGACGTTTTAAAATACTGAGAGTAAACCTAATTAAAATACCGTATTTCGGCCATTTTGTATAAATGTATTCTGACCCGAGTCAAAACATGGATACATTTATTAACTGTCTTATGTTTCTATACCTGTATATTCGTATCTTCTCTCCTGTTTACATGATACAAACTTTGAACTTTGATAAACTATCCACTGACGTCCATTTTTACCTTTGATACCTAGGTTTAATCATATTGTAATCAGAATTTCAAGTGTTTTGATCTGTTTTATCTATATTTTGCTGACTAATATAGCATAGTTTCGTTTGAAGCTTACAAAATTCATGCAAAGGTAATAAATCTGAATTAGAAATTCCACCTGACGATTTTGAATGAGTTACAATGGACTTTTAAGAAAGAAAATTTAAGGTAAAATGACATGGTATACAATTGATACATACATATGTCAGATTTGTTCAATATTAATTTCCTTGTCACGCGTTCACTGAAATATAGTTTTACAATGTAAAACTAGGAAGCATTTGTAATTCTGAACCATATATGATGACGTCACGACGACGAATTACAGCAACACAATCCTAGCTACGTACGTTTTATACATCTAATTATCATTTTTTTTTTATATTTTTCAGATCCGAATCAAACATGCACAGACTCAATAAATGACTCGTCATCAGGATTTGCCTCTGATGCAGCGAGTCATACGTACTCAAAGACCAGCATGTCGACCTTCAAAGGAAGCTGCTCTGACAGCAGCGAATCTGGACGAGTATCGTGTAGAGAACCACCGTGGTCAGGGACGAAGACTCCTGCACACAGAGAACCTAACCATTATAATCCACGTGACTTAAACATGCAATACAGGATGTCCACGCCGTCACCAATGTCTCATAAATCATCTTCGTCCGTGAAAACAACATCATCCAACCGTTCGTCCTCAAAATCATCACACATTTCATCAAATAAACTTCCAACAGCGCCACCTGTGATAAGTTATAAAAATCCTGCATATGAATATCAGCTAGATAAACATATCGAAGAAATTCAGTATAATATTAAACGAATTGAGCTTCAAGACTGTCAACAGTACATTTCATCAAAACCGAAATCACGTCACCATAAACCGTCTCTTTTCGACTTAGTGACGGATGATGTTATCGTAAATATATTCTCAAACTTGCCGACTGATCAGTTGTGTCGGTGTTCTCGAGTGTGCAACCGATGGTATCGGTTGTCATGGGACCCGTTACTATGGAAACGCATTGTTATAAATAGCGAGAAGATAAACGTTGATAAAGCTTTGAAATATTTGACAAAGAGACTCAGCTACAATACTCCCACAGTGTGTGTGATTGTGGAAAGAATTATATTGACTGGTTGTGAAAAACTAACCAATAAAGGATTACATACGATAGCCAAACGCTGTCCAGAGTTACGCCACTTGGAAATACAGGGATGTGCCAATGTTACTAATGATTCTCTCTTTGAAATAGCATCTTACTGTGTTAACCTGGAATATTTAGATGTTACTGGTAGGTACAATTTCAAATCCTTATTGATAAACGCTTATCCGAAGGCGCTAAAAACATTAGCAACCTGTTACTGAATTTAAAGTCTTTAGTTATAATCACTTTAATATAAACATCTCTTTAAAATGTCATCACTTCAGTCTTTGGTTGTAGTATCTCTTCTTCAACTGTACATGCACTGGACGTTAAACAGCCAACAATCATTCAATCAATCAAGCAACTATACATGTAACGTTGGTGTATTAAAAACACCAACTAACAAAAGCAATTATACAAATAACCAAACAAAAAATGATAATATAAAAAAGAAAATTATTTGTCTTTACCATCAAGGAATTGACATGTTTCTGAAAACGAAGTAAGCGTAGCTCGAGGACAATACGACATATTTAGTCAATTGAAGTAAAGGTTTTACAGAATTATAAATGTTAAAACATGATAGACGTTTGCATGACGTAGGAACAATAAAGAGCAATGCAATAAAGTTGAGAAAAAAAAGCTTAATAGATTGATAAAGAAAATGTAAGCATGTTTTAAATGTGGTTATGGGACTATTTTTTTCGGAATTCTTTAAAAACTTTGTGAAGAAACTCAATGTTTTCATTTATAAATGTGTGTAAAAAAGTATTTTAAAGTTCCTCTTGTTAAAAGGGAAAAGGCTATACTCTCTACTTGCCAAGTGTAACAAACGCTAAGCTGACGTAAATAGTGATGATTATTGCTATAATACAATGTCATTTACCTGAAAACTATAATAAAAATATGTCAAAGGAAAATTAACATCTATAAACGTTTTCTAGACCATTGAACATAATTAAATTTTGTATTGCCTGAGAAAATAAAAATTTAAAATCAGATAGAGAAAAAAGAGTCGTTTATATGTTATAAATCACAGCAACAGGTAATAAAGTATTAATGACAAATATCAACTTCTATGTAGGATATAATATTTTATTTCCATTTCCGTCAACTTTCACTAGCTTTGCTAGGCACGTCATAAGTTTGAATGGCCAAATAAATGATTTCAGTTTTAACAAAACAGATGTACTTAATAAAGACTTTAAATAATATTCTAGGTTTTTAATGAAAAATAGAGACTATTCGGGTTTTCTGGTCTATTTTTGAACGCTTAGCATTAGAAATCTTTTCAGTTTATCATACAGGTTGTACGGATAGATTTTTTTCTCGCTCGGAAAATTGTAGAAAATCCAAAATCTTATCAGAAAGGCCAAATAACAAACACGTAATTTATAACAGTAATAATACATTGAAATAAACTCATAGTTTCTCCAATTCACTTATACGAAACTAAACGAACATATCTTTGTCTGTTCGAACATAAGACTTATGTAACTTATAGCCTTCACAATAACAACCCAGCAGTCTTGTACTTAAATGGTGGGCGTTAAGCCAGGCATAAAATGACTGTGCACAATGAGAATTTTGAAATAATTCACGTGAGGTAAATCCAAGCAATAAAGCCATCTTTCTTTAAATACTCCGAAACAGTGGGAAGATGACAGTGAAAATAGTGTTAAGAAGTTATTTTGTTCTTGATGACACGACTATTTATTCCTTTGATGCTTAAATTGAAATTTATAGAAGCATTGATTTTCATTTCCATGCATTGGTAGGTGTGAATCAAAATTTAACTTTGAGGGCCGCAATAACTTTTCATAAATGAACAACATTTTGATTACATTTTGGAAATTTCATGCATAGTTGCCCATTGTATAAGACTTTACAATTCATCGATGTGACTTCTTGCACACCATGTTTTACTGATGAAAAATGTAACGTAAAGCTTATGTACTTAAAAGAAATATAACTCAGGTATTTGTCTTAAATATATTTACAATAGCTCATGAAATGGGCTAAATCTCTTCAAGATTCAGTATAAAAAGGGACCAAATAAAAAACGTAAAAAACTCGTGTATTCCATTATGCAACTTTTTGCCATTTACAATTTTTAGTACAAAAGGGGGATAAAGAGGTTCGATCCAGCAATATGATTCCGCATTCAGTGTTTGACTTCCAGTGTCTTTGAACATTTTCATTTGATTTTAGAAAACCCCTCTTTGTTCAAGAATTCATGCAAAGTCTGTGTTCATCAACATAAGACATGTCATCGCAGAAAACAAAAGTAAAATGAAAACACATAACAAGAAACTGTTAATGGTTGCACACCTACCTGACCAACTACTTATTTATGTTTCAAGTATTTCCGACTAACTAATTTGAGTTGAAATACTTTCAAATTTATTAGATAGTGTCGTTGGGTTGCCAATTAATTGACCTGTACCCCACATCTCCATTTATTTAAGGAATGACTAATATTTTTTCTGTCTATGAAGAAATAACATCAAAAATGTGGTGCGCGGGTTATTTAAAAGTGTGCACCACATTTTTTTAGGTTATTTCGAATAGGCAGAAAAAATATTACAGTCATTCCTTATAATTTAATTCTAAATTCCATTTTTAAGGAGTACATTTAAAAAAAAAAACGTTGGTGACGTCACGGTCACATGACAAAATTATGTCTGTAAGCTGATAGACAAAACACTTTCAGCCAGTCAGAAGACGTGTTACATCCAAAATTAAATTATTCATCTATATATCTAGGAATATTGAAAATAAAGTAAATTGTTTTGATTAATTGATGCTTTAAGTTGAGCGGCAAATAATGCATGCACATCCAGGACAACCTCGTTTTAATGTGATGTACATGCATTCTTAAATGCCGCGCGTGATTTGCACAACACAACCGTGATCACATTCTAATGACGAGCGCGCTTCCATGAGACCTACGAGCAAGTTGAAAATAATCTATACATGTAGAAGATAACCTTTGTTCCGTTTTATGAAGTATGACTGACGAAATGTTTTAATTTTAATTACAGGTTGCCCTTGTATTACCAGTGTTAGTCTTACCACTCAAGTTTTAGAACAGGCCACAGCACACCATCTTCGACAGATCTACCTCCGCTTTTTAGACATGACAGACTGTTATGCGCTTGAGGACGAAGGATTACAAACACTTACTCTTCATTGTACCCAATTACAACACTTGTATCTAAGACGATGTGTGCGCATTGGCGACGCTGGCGTTCAAGCCATAGGTATTAATTGTCCGTATATCAAGGAACTTAGCATTAGTGACTGTAGAAAAGTGACCGACTACGGAGTTTGTGCACTCTCGAAAATAGGAGACAATTTAAGATATTTAAGTGTAGCAAAGTGTGATAAAGTTTCTGACGTAGGTGTAATACAGTTGGCTAAAAATTGCCGGAAGTTACGTTATCTCAATGTCAGAGGTTGTGAAGCTGTCTCAGACGACGCCATGGATGTTTTAGCACGAAACTGCTCGAAACTCAAATCTTTAGATATTGGAAAATGTGATGTAACTGATGAAGGATTACAGGTCCTTTCACATAATTGTTCTCAACTAAAGAAACTAAGTCTTAAGTCTTGTGATGCAATTACAGACGACGGTGTAAAATGTATTGCCAAGAAATGCCGCCATCTTGAGCAACTCAATATTCAAGACTGCCATCTGACAGTGGACGCTTACCGAGCTGTAAAACGTTACTGTAAAAAATGCTTTATTGAACATACAAATCCTGGTTTTTATTGACAATATATAATAGCTTGTATATTAGAACAAGGGAAAAAGCCTATCCCTCTCCTCCTCTCCTTCTTCTTCTTTTTCTTCTTCTTCTACACAAATTTATATCTAAAATGTATCCTCACTTTTCTGCTCATAAACTGTCTGATGTTAACAGAAATATCGTTTTCTGCATTTTCTCCCATATATAATTTTTAAGTCCAATTGAAAATTCTGAAATGTTCCCAAACTTTGTACTAATTAAGAAAAACAAAATTTGCTCAATGTACTCTCAGTTCTATTTTTGGCAAGTACGACTTTTTCGTCTATTTTATAAAACTAAACGCGAGTTTTAATCTTTTGGCAGTTTTTAATATATTTATTTCACTAAAAATGGTTCTATCTGCCTCAATTTATGTAGGTCTAACAGCAAATTAAAATGCGAAAACAATGATGTTCAGAACATAACAGAGTTTTGACCATTCCCATATGTCCCGGTAACCGGTAAGCATATAGTCCATTGTTATGTATATTGTATCATGTATAATCTACAAGAATCATTATATATTATTATTATTTTCTTGTGTTGATTGTTTTTGTTTTACTAAGTTATGTTTGTTACAACAGTGCTGGAGAATAAAATATTAAAATAATTACGTTTTATTTCATTTATTAAAAAGTAAAATCACATAAATACTGAACTCCGAGGAAAATTCAAAAAGAAAGTCACTAATCAAATGGCAAAATCAAAAGCTCAAACACATCAAACGAATGGATAACAACTGTCATATTCCTGACTTGGTACAGGCATTTTCTTATGTAGAAAATGGTGGATTGAACCTCGTTTTATAGCTAGCCAAACCTCTCGCTTGTATGACATCTAAATCTCAACTCACGGAGTGGGTGGAAATACTGTATTCTCTTAGTTCCGTTTGTGAAGAGCGTTATATCTAACTCAGCTGTTATATGATTGAATGATTTGATTGGTTTAGCGATTTTTAAAAGCAGTTACTTCCTGTTTGATAGTAATTTATTTTTTTCGTAAAATACTTCGTCAATGTATACTAACGAGTGAGGGTACACGTTGAACGATATCGCCAGCAACTCTTTAGTTTAAATAAGGTAACATGATATAACTTATGAATTGGCTTCTAAAACAGTGTCACTGAATTGATCAAACAAGTTAAATTCTCCAAAATGTAAGAAAAAAAAGAAATTCTACCGAACCAACTAGTCGGATAGGACATTAGCCAAAACCAACAATAAAAAACCAACAAATGTCCAAGAACCACTTAAAAAAAACAAACAAGAAACAAAATCTAGATAAGTGGACAATTACAATGCAAAATGAAAATGAATACGAAACTGCGATGAAAACTAGATTGAAAGAAAAAATAGTAAATGTCAGTCGTTTCTCATTCAAGAATGGTGAAGCACAGTCAACCTTACCTACTTTGCATTAAGCACCAGTCGTGTTTATACCTGGAAAGGACAAACTTTTAGAAAGTACTCAACGATTCCAAGTGAATCGAGTCTTCATTATTGTAGACTATAGGAAAGCACAATGAAGACAAGAAGGATTGATATAATTTGCTAGTATTTCATCTTTATAAAACCTATGTGTACATGAAACTTAATGAGTGTCCATTCCTTTAACATGTTTTATAGCTCTTTCGTTAGTCCAATTTGCAAACCACAAGAACATTGTTAGGACGACTATTTATTTGTCCTGATGCAAATTCACCCCACGTCTTTTCATCTATGAAAAATGACAAAGATCCAACATTTATTCTTCTTAGGAAGAACGAAAAGAACTTAGCAGTATCCTTTAACTTCACTTTCCGCTACTAGTATATAGATGATGTTCTCTCACTAAATAATTCAAAATTTTATGACTATGTTGAACGCATCTGTCCCATCGAACTTGAGATAAAGGATACAACAGATACAGTTAAGGCTGCCTCATATCTTGACTTACATCTAGAAATTGACCATGGTGGTCGGTTGAAAACAAAACTTTACGACAAAAGAGATGATTTCAGCTTCCCAATTGTGAACTTTCCATTTCTATGTAACAACATTCCAGCAGCGCCTTCATACGGAGTATATATATCCCAGGTGAAACGATATTCCACGGATTGTATTTCCTATCATGATTTCCTTGATAGAGGGTTGCTGCTCACAAGGAAGCTATTAAACCAAGAGTTTCAAGTGGTGAAGCTGAAATCGTCCCTTCGTAAATTTTACGGACGCCATAACGAGTTGGTTGACCGTTATGGAATATCCGTTTCACAGATGACAAGGGATAAGTTCCAATTCTCGTAACTACAATCTCGTCCCCTTTTCCCCGAATGTGAACTACCGAATTAGACTTATCACCGAGTTTGTACTAACATGAGTATCACGACGGGTGCCACATGTGGAGCAGGATCTGATAACCCTTCCGGAGCACCTGAGATCACCCCCAATTTTTGGTGGGGTTCGTGTTGCTCAGTCTTTGGTTTTCTATGTTGTGTTTTGTGTACTGTTGTTTGTCTGTTGGTCTTTTTCTTTGTTAGCCATGGCATTGTCCGTTTATTTTCGACTATGAGTTTGAATGTCCCTTTGGTATCCTTCGCCTCTTTTTTTTACAGTTTGACAATTTGACAACTTGGAATACTCGACGTTGTACGAATGAGCTATCGTTACTCACTCCGAAAATATACCATTGTCTGTTCGATTAAGTGGTATGTGGTTTGTCCGTAATATTTACGTTTATTATATGATGTGAATATTTCGATGTGCCAAATCAAGATTTTGACCTAGATTTCGCGGTTCAAGTCAAGCGGCACATGGTGTCCAATGGACAAATGTTTTTGTTTTTAATGGTTTAGTGTAAAGCAATGATGTGTATATTGTCAGTTAGCTGATTTGTGTATTTAAAATGATGGTTTGTTGAACATTGTCTCCTGTTTTTTTATTATTTATTATACACTTACTTACGATGTGTAATGTGTTAGGATTTTGATTTTAGACCATGTTGTTGTTTGAACTATGTCAATATTTGTTAAGTTTCGTATGCGACGCACTGTCTGCTGAACTCCTCTAATATTAGAATGTTTCGTTTTGGTGAATATTTTAAAACATACATTGAACATTATTTATGTGCCAGTCCCCTGTCAGGAGCATGTGATTCAGTTGTTCTCATTGGCTGCTGTCTGGCATTATATAAACTTGTGTTTCGTTTAACATATTAAGCATAAACCAGACAGATGGTTTTCATTTTTGAATTATTTAACTTTCATTATGCCGGGGACTTTTACAGCTTACTATACGGTATGGATGTTGCTCATTGTTGAATGCCGTGCAGTGCCTTATTGTTGTTAGCATCCTACATCGTCCATTGGTCTCTGGTGAATATCTAATCCATTGTCAATCATACCACATCTCCTTATTTTTACATTTAAGATGTACATGTAGTTCCTGCGAAGTTATCTATCAAAAATCAAGTTGCCGTCGAAATGTTTTTATTGGTTTTATGTATTTCAAAATGACATTGCCAAAAAATTATGACAGTATTTATTAGATTTCGTTACCCGTTATGATGTGGATGTATCTGTTGCAGTCGTTCTAATTTCTCTTTCAGCAATAAAAAATGTCTGTAAACAAATCGGACTTTTTCAAAATATACGAATGAAATTTATCTATCTGAGTCTACTAAATCCAACCTTAATAGTGACTATTGTTCTTTTTAGACCTTGAAATGGGACTTTTTCCTGAAAATCTTGATACCGGGACGACTTTTCCTTTCCTATTGTTAATCTTCCCTTTCTCGGCGGTGATGTTACGTTTTCCTCTTCTTATTGAGTATACATTTCTTAATTGGTTCGATATGCTCGTGTTCTAAGTGACGTATCAGATCTCACTAACATGAACCGTACCAATTTGTCTGCACGAGATGCTTATTTTGACATTAAATGTCTCTTCAGTGATGCTCGAGGCCAAAATATTTGAAAATCAGAAACTGGTTAAAAAAAATGATGAGCTTATAAACCAAAAAAAAAAGTATAGCCAATTGAAAGCTGGATAAGGAATCAGAGCTTTGCATTAGGGATATATATTCCTAAATAATTTCCAAATTTTGTAACAGCAAATTTTTATAACACAATACTCTCGGGGACTAACAGTCTAAAGCAAAGGTATCGACTTAGTTGTAGTAATAACATGAATAACAATTTGTCTGCAACAGATGCGCATTTCGACAATAAATGTCTCTTCAGCTCGAGGCCAAAATATTGGAAAATCAATGGCTTATCAAACTAGAGACTCTAAAGGGCATGTGTCGCTCACATGCATCTTTAACAATGGCCATTTTTAGAAAGAAAAAAAAAACCTCACTAAAAGAGAATAACTCTATCAAGTGTAGTAAAAGATTTCTAATTATTAAGCGAAAAAGATGATATTATACAACCAATAATCAATTGGGAAAAATTCTAAAAAAAATGTTAATATTCAAAGCGAAATAACTCAAAATTTTGACTGTATGTTATATATAACCTTAAACTCTAGAACTATTATATTTTTCATTCAAGTTTGTTATTAATTATACTGAACTTTTTTCTGTTTTTTACTATGTTGATATGTACAATAAGGTCAGAGATTTCACGATATGGAGACGGAATCTCTATATTTTTTAAACATTTATTTATATTACCTTAACATTTTAATCTTTTCAATAAATCGTTGCTGTTTTTGTCATAATTCTTAAACTTTGCGCTTAAATACATAAATAAGACTGTCAGCTACATTCACAGTTATAAATATCAAAAAAGAAAACAATCGGTTGGATAAATGCTAAAAAAAAAAAAAAACAACAAAAACAAAAAAAAAACAAAAAAAACAAATAACAAATAAGCAGACAACAAACAACGACAACCAATGAATAACAGGCTCCTGACTTGGCACAAGCGTATACAGAATGTGATGAGATTAAACATATAGTTCTGTTATGATAAACTTCAGTTTGATATTACACAAACATTCACAATCTAAGCCTAGAAAGTAACAGACCTAGACAAACACCGATTTAAACAAAGCAGTTTCAGATGATCCTTATTCCCTTTAATATAAAAACACCTGATATATTTTGAAAGTGCATTAATACAAACACTTTCCCGATTTCATGTTGTAAATGTTACTGTTAGTGACTACATTGTAATTATTTTGTCTCTGCCTCTTCTACTTTTTCCATTATTAATCTTTCATCAATACCAGTTTCTTCGTACAAAAATAATTCACAGTCATAATCCTGGAAGAAAGAAAAAAGATTAAAAAGACTTTGATAATTATTAAACACTTTCTTATGTAACATATTAAAAAAATATGGGAATTGAAGATAACGTTGAACATCACTACAGATGCATTCAACCGAAATATTCCGATTACTGATAGGTTGTTTTCGGAATTTCCCGAGGTGATCTGAATGTTAGAAGTGTGGACACACATTAACGTCAGTTTCTTACTTTATCATTCTGTCATTCAAATCAACTCTCGATTGGCCAAACAATTTAGAAGAATTGGTTCATTCGTCAATAATCAACAATTTTTTTACTATTTTTATTTATAAAATCTCGATTATTAAAAGCTCACAATTTGAGTGATACTTGTGAAAAGA